CTATCCCATTGTATGGTCCCACATCACGCATTGTATAATTGTATTCCCCCTTTGGACCCCATGTCAATCATGTGAAAAATTTTTGAGTTCAAATTGGAATAATAATAAAAAAATATTTAGACATTTTTTCAAAAGTAGATTGAATTTTGGCCGGCCCCACCCACCCCAACACAATCAAATAGTATTGTAGTAGGATGAGCGTTCGATACTGTGCGGATAGTGATAAATCTTGGAACCGTACCAAAATTCGGAGATCCCAAAATTTGATCTTCGAAACCGTACAAAAAAGTCAATTCAGTTCGGTTCGGATTTTTTTATTTTTTGGTTCGGTCCGGTATTTTGGATTATTGAGACGGTTCAGTTTCGTATGGTTTGGTTCGGATCTTCGTAGATTTTTTTTTTTAATGATTACCTAGGTATATTTATTTTTGATATGTGTTGTGTACAAATTATTTTTATTTTACCGAGCACCGAATCAAATGATTCGTTTCCCGGGTCGATCTCTCGAGGAAGACTATTCGGAATCTAGAATGGGTGTTGATAACACATAAAAGAAAAATAAATCCTACACATTCTAATCATGATAGAGTTGGAAAATGATTAACTAAAATATTAACTAATAAATAACATAAAACAATAATCTATCTAAAAATATAAACGATATAAATATAAAGATGCTAGGAAATCGAGAATAAATATTTGAATCGAAATGCAATCATCGGCTCGTGATTGTTCGGTTAAATAATTCGAGTCACCTACACGTTTAGAGATTCATCCTCAATACCTTTCGGATTATGAGAATAAATATAAACGGTAAATTAACAAGTTGTTTAACACCTAGACAATACCTTTCGGATTATGTCTATTTTGTATGAGTCTCGATCAATTGACCTCTCCCCTTTCAGTTCAAGAGTCAATTAAAATAGACTATAGGATTTTTAGTCTTCTAGTCTATTCGGATGGTGATAGTCACAATAGAACACATCATATTCAATTTGAAAATAAGTTTAACATTGAAGTATCACTCTTCAATACTTAAAAATCAATTGCAAAGTTGAATTGTCACTTTTCAACAATATGTCATTCCAAAGTAAAAATCAAAAACCGAATTTAGAATTAACTCATACAAAGTGAACAATCGACGAGTACGATAATCACATACGAAATCAAATATTCATCCCTATCCCTAGCAAATGATTTAGCTATTCATATAAAAAATAAACTCAACATAAGATTCATTGCAAATTATCATTACAAGAAAAATAACTTACAAGTAATCCAAGTCGAGAAATAAAGTTGATACAAACGCCAAACCGAAAACAAATGCACGCCACACCGGAACAAGTACAAGCCTTGGAGAACACCTCCAAAATTCACAACCAAAAGAAAAACTAATCTAAGACAACATATAAGAATGATGGTAGTGGTGAGGATGATAATATTTTGGATTGTGAGGGATAGATGTTGGTTAGATGATGGAGCTATTTATAGATATATCATCAACCATAATCCACCAACATCAACCACAATTTACCAACAATAACCACAATTCAACTAAAAATCAACCACAATTCATCTACCAAAGAAAGAATGAAGAAAAGGTGAAAGAAGATAGGAAATTTGAGATAAAAGATGGAATTTTCGGACAAAATCCGAGAGGGTATTTTTCCGCGCGCATTCGCACATATCTCGGGCAGCTCTGCTTCTCGGGCTTGTTTTGGGCTCGTCCGAACTCGGAATTGAGTGCCGTTTTTTTCTATGCGTCGCTAACGAACCCCTCTATTCAATGATGTGTGCCAATATAAATGTCTCCCAGAATACAATTATCTAGGGATTTTTAACTTCCAAGGTGTCGCAACTTGCTCGATTTTACGCTTCGATCCCGTACAAACTCATCCGAACTCGAAATTGAGTTCCGCTTTTTCCTGTATGTAGCTAACGAGCTCCTCTATCCAATGATGCTTGAAAACCACACTATTGATCAGAGTACAAATTATGTGGAATTTCCAACCTTTAAAGGGTCGGTAACTTGCGCGGCTTCGCATTTTGATTCCGTCCGGATTCATCCGAACTCGAAACCAAATTCCATTTTTTCCTATGTGTAGCCAATGAGTCCATCTACATAACCATGATTGCCCGATCCATGTCATTACCTCACGATGCCTCCGACCTGCACACGAAAAACAAGAAGAAAAACGGGAAAAACACACGAAAAACATAAAGAAAACCAAAATGGAACAAAACACATAATAAAACACAAAACGAACTAAAAACTCACAAAATGACCTAAAACGAGAAAAAATAAAAGGAAAAGAAGAACACAAATATAACGAAAAATACAACAAAAATATTACAAACAATATGCTTTAAAAAAACAACATCCATCAATAATTCATCATATTGAATATCTTATTTTGATATCAATTTTTAGAGGTAACTCTAAATTTAGAGCATGTTTGTATACAAGAAATCTCACAAAAAAAATTTAACATTTTAACTCAACCATATTTTTTAACTCAACTTTAACTAAACCCCACTAACATCAATATTATCAATATAATTAAATAATATCAATCAATTATTCATACACATCACATCAACTTTAATTCACTATTTATCCACTCACAATATTTTAACTAACCATCACATCAAATTTTTAATTATTTTATTTTAAATATTTTTTTTAATATACCCACTAACATTTAACCATACTACTTTTTTCAAAATTAACCAAACCAAACAAAAAAATCCAACAAAACCAAAAATTTTCATATCCAAACATGCTCTTAGTTCTTTAATTTTTATATGTTTTAATAAAACCAACATTCATCAATACTTTCTGATATTAAAGATTTTATTTTAAAATCAACTTTAGAAGTAACTCTAAATTTTAGTTAAGACTAAATTTGTGCAACTAATATTGAAAATTTAAAACTCAAACAAAATATGATCTTTTTTTCTTAAAAAAATATTGGTTAATATTTCATATTAATTTAAATAAATATTTTATAATAGAAAACATTCAATTGTAGATCAAGTATTACTAAACATGAAATTAAGTGAAGGTTAATAGTTATTACTATATTATATAGAATCAAAGTTGACATAAAATATATTAGTAACACATTTAATGTTATAATTCGGTTCTTGATTTCGGTTATTCGGTACGGTACGGTATGGGACGGTTCGGTCGGTTCTCGGTACAGATATGTGTGAAATCTCCAGAATCGTACCAATTATTTTTTTGGTTCGATTCGGTTTGGAGAAAGTCAAACGGCTACAGTTATTTTTCGATTTAGAGTGATTTTGTTTCAATTTCGGAACGATTCGAAATTCTCCAAATTACATGCTTAGCCCTATATTGTACACATTTATTCGTTGAACCAAAAAAAAAAAAAAAAAAGAAAAAATTACTTCAACCAATAATTAGCAAACATTGCCGTCCACTCCACTCATCGGTGTCCACGTGGCTTGCCCAAGTGATGTAACATTTGTCCCTTACTTTTGACAAATTTTCGTGGACTAAAGGTTCAATTTGCATTGTGATTGATTTTTTTTTTTTTTTTAAACGATAGAGAATAATAAATTAAAATATACAACTGTGTAAATACACAACAACCAACGGCTGAATATGTGGAAGACATGTCAGAAGGCCGCTTAGAATCTCGACTAACAATGTTAGAATAAAACACTCACAACAACCTAGATTTTGCAGTGTGATTTGAATTTTAGAGAACTAAAAAAATTCGGTGCAATATGAACGGCACCGAAATTTTGATTTGTCAAATAAAGTTTTTAGTATATTACCTTAAACTCCTAAAAAGTTTGGATTAATTTTTTTTCTAGTCCAACAAATTATTATAACTCATCCTTCAATATGATTCATACGAGCTCTTTCTTGATGATTAATTAATCAGTCTCTATTAATTGATTTACCTAGAAAGTACCCATATGATACTACGTGTGCTTCTGACACGGTCTGTAGTAATTATATATACTATTGTCATAACTTGCTCGGTCATCCTAATGGGTAACCATAAGTTAGTGTTCTTGTTTGCACATCTTCAAATTTTGAAGATATCTATTATAATCCACACATTTTGGATAATTTCCACTATCCATTTCTAAATTTAATTACATTCATAGAATAATTCAGAATAAAACCTTGGCTCTAACACTATTTTATACGAAGTGGTACTCTTAGAACAATTTCAGGTGCTAGGTATATAACGAAATCAAGCACTGCATGAATTTCTTTTTGACTTAAGACACTCTTGGAAAAAACATGCACTACAATAAATGAAAACATGTACTTTTTCTTTAGTTTATAGGTATCGGAACAAAATCATAGTTTTAACATTAGAGGAAACCATTTATATTGCCCTTATTAGTTGACTATGAAGTACAATGGAAAAACTTATATCTAGGGACTTATTGTGTTTGGCTTAAGGAATAATTTTTATGGTCTGAACTTTTATTCGTATTTTCGTATTTTTTTAATGCAGTTAACTGAAAAACCAAACAGCACCAACTCGAAATTTTTGGTTTAGTTCTTTTTTTCTATTTTTTTTTTAATTTTCTTGTGGTGTGGTTCAATGTACAAATTTTAGATTTTTGATATTTGACCAAACTGCACAGTCATTCACTCCTATCGGCACATAGATCGTGCAATGCACGGAACACTTTAACTATTTCTATATGGCTTGTCTATTTTGGCACTAAATACATTGAGGATGGATCGTCAAATTTTCACCTCTTTTAATTAGTGATATTTATTTTAGCCAAACTGTTAACACTTTAATTAATATATTACTCCCCTAATACGTTTATAATAATATAAATCTTATTTTAGAATATTTATTTATTGATATAAGAAAAATAACAGTTTTATTTATTTTTAGTCATCTTATAATGCTCAATAATTATTTTATTGTAAATTTGTTGTTATATAATGTCATTATTATTATTATTATTATAAAATTTATAGAAATAGTTTTATTTTTATAACTTATGGATTTTTTTTTTTTAATGTATGTACATTAACATAACTATTACTTGTTAATATAATTAATTAAAATTTATGTAAATAAATTTTAAAAAAGAGGTCTCAAGGTTTTATTCATCAACTCCCATCCCAGGTCTCTAAACAGACCCGCTCACGCCGCAACCTCGCCATCGCCGCTTCGTAAGTCTTCAGCTTCACGCCGTGTGCCCGCTGCAAGACCACGACATAGCGGCATCGTCAGTCGGCTATCGTCCGCCTCAATTACTGTCCCGTCCCTATCTCTCGCCCCTCTCCTTCTCTGGCCCTCTTCCGTCACCGGCCTGCCTCTTTGTCCGTCCGTGCCTATCTCTCGTCCTCCTCCGTCGTCGGCCCGTCTCCATCGCAACTTTCAAAGGTATATTACCTGATTTTTAGCTTGGTTTGGTGAATTCGTTTTTCATGGAAGAATTTGTTTCATGGCTCAATTGTTTGGTGAATTCGTTTTGTAATTCATAATCATATGGAATTTAAAAAAAAAAAAAACCCCTCAAATTTTAAATATTTCAATTTGAGCTACTGTGACGAGTCCTTGTAAAATTTCCCTGTGTAAAGTTTGAACTACTTTGATGAGTCCCCAACTACTAGCTTGGTCCTGTTATCTCCCTATTGAAAGACTGAAAGTCCTGTGTAAAATTTATGTCTTTCACCGGCGGGGCAGGTCGACCTGCCCTGGAACACGCCAGGTCGCGGGCCCGGTCGGTCACGAATAATATAAAATGAATTGCATTATAATTATTAGAATTAGAATTATACTAAATTCTAACTGATTTGTGGTGTATTTTTATCATTGACTTGTAAATTGCATTATTTTTTTGGTTCATAACTTTTATGTATGAATTTATATTTTTATAAAAAAATTTAAAAAGTATAATGATTATATAAAATGATTAGTAATAAACTGAAGCATGAATGAAGCCTTTATGTTGAGTACTTCCAAGACGAAACATGATGGTGGAGGATTTGATCATCTTATCAAAACAGCACCAATCCCGGATGTAAATAAATAAATCAACGTATTCGGACGTGTTATTGAGGGTGAAGATGTTGTTGAGGAAATTGAAGAGGCTGACACAGACTAACATTACCGGCCTAAAGCTCCCATAGGAATAACCGAAGTGGTCTTAAAACAAAAGCTCTGATCAGTTAGTTCTCTTTGCTCTGTCTTGGTATCTCGCGTCGTAGAGTGTAACCATCGTCATCATTACTGGCTGAGTTATTCCGGTCATGTGGCATTGTCACCTTTGCAAATGCTTTTTTGGCTAAGATGTAGCAGCTTCATATTTTCTCGTTTTGTATGTTTTACTTTCTTTCTACTGCTATTGGTGCACATATTGTCTCGAAACAAGTATTGTTAAAAAATTTTGTCAATCCCAAATACAGTTCAATACTTTTCTACATTTCGAACCTTATTATTTTACTTTTATTTTTCATAGTTTCGCCCTCAAAAAATTTCTCCATCGTGCCCAGCTTAGGCCGCCACCCGTTGCCCCGAACTTTCAACCTGATACTCTTCATGATCTCCAAAGCTTCCCTCACCTGATTTTTCTCAAGAGAAAACAGCAAGCATCTCCCAATTTCTAAAATCAGGCGAAATGTAGTGTGTGTGTGTGTGCAGAAACTGCCAGAAAGTTGGGGGTTGGGTTCATCTCCGAGGAGACTGTTGGCGGAGATTACACGCAGAATTTAGAGAACGGGCGATAGGGAGTGGCAGTTGAAAATCGTGATTGAACTGTAAAAGGGAAATAGGTCGTGGCTTCCATGCAAGTTGATTCAAGTATTTTATAATTTTGGAAGTTAGCATATGGATAAAAATTCAAATAAATACAGACTACTCAAATCATAAGAACTTGATGTATAAAATTTTGAGGCACCAGAAGTTACACTTAAACTCAGAAAACTCCAAATTATGTGCGAAAAAAAATCTGTTTTATTGAATAAACTAATTTTACGACCTAAAACTATTTTAGGGCAACACATTTGGAGTCCCGCGAGAGATCGAACATAATAGAGACCCTTCCAATGGAGGACTCGTCACTGCAAAGCTTAACCCTAAATCCATCCGACGCAGCTTTTTCTTTCCCGCCACACCGTCGCCGGCCACTTCGTAGCCGGACCTTTTGTGCCCTCGTTGGAATTATCACGAACACCCACAAGCTGCGAATCCAAGGTATTGAGCTTTTCCTTTTCTCAGGCTTGCTTATTTTTTCTGTTACATTTTTCTCCTGTTCTCTTCACTGTGAATCACACTGTTATATTTTGGTGACACGGAAAAAGGATCCTTTGGCCTTGGATTTTTGCCTCTTTTTTTTGTGTATGAAATTTATTTGCTCATTTTTTTAGTGAACTTCTGTGGAATTGTATTAGTTATAATGTGAGTTATGATTTGCATGTGGTTTTGCTTACTTGGAATTTCACTGTACTATTTGATTATGTGAGAGAAGGTGATGGTGGAGCACTTGAAGTAAGATCGGTGAGGGAAGAAGATGGAGCAACAATTTCCAATGAGGATGTTCATTCAGAGGCTGCCGTAATTCCACTTCCTGTTTGCAAGCAGCAGTCAGAGGATACGCTAGTTAGAGAGACGAGTATTAGTGAGAAAAAGGTTACGAGCTTTCAGTATGGTGATTCGGAACGTAATCAAGCGACAACACCCGAATTGGATCACGGGAGCTTGGGGACGGATGGCAGACGCGAAGTTGCTCCAGAAAATAGTGTTAGCAACGAGAACCTGTCTATCGTTGTGAACCAAACGTCTGGCTGTGCCATTCAAGTTTCCAAGGAGCAAGAAGAAAATGCATCAAAAGATGTTCTTGGTCATCACATGGAAAACTTAGTTGCTTTGGAAGAGCTCCAAGTGGACGAAGAATTCTCTGTAGCCGATTATTCCGATGTTCTGGACTCTTGTTTTGGCGTGGATATGACAATTGAATCATCAAAAACTGTCTTGGAGGAGAATATGTCTAAAGAAACCGAGCATGAACTGCAGCTGAAGGAGATGGAACTGGAAAAACTCATAAACTTTCAAAATGCTGATCATGAGTTTGAAGAAGGGGAAATCTCTGGGGAAGTTGGGGTTGCTGATGTGTCTTTTCATGAAGAACCGTCATTAGTAGGAGATAGAACTGTAGAAATAGTGCACGCGTCTGAGGATGTTCTTGATAAAGAAGAATCTATGAGCACTGAAGAATATAACAGAGGTTTTCGGCAACATCAAGCGCCTGATCCTTTACTGGCCAGAACGGTGAATAGTGACTATAACTCTGTGAACATAAGAAGCCGACAAATTGCTGGAGTGATGCAGGGTTTTAATCCTCAAAATGTCTCTAACGATAGTCATATGGAGACCCAAACGAGTGGCCTGGTATGTTCTGCAAAGCAATGTCCATCAGACAGGAACCTCAAAGGGAAGGCTGCTGAAAGCCAAATGTGTGCTACTGTTGAAAAGGTATGAATTTCGTATTATGCCAGGTCTTTAATATTTACTTGAATATGAAACATGAGGTCATACTAAATTGCGAATGAGGGTTTTCTGGGCGTGGTTACTAGTTAGATGTCTAAGAAACAGTGAGCTGATTTTAAATTGACGCCGCCTTCTCATTAGGCCGTCCAGCTAAGCTATGTTATGGAAGATATAGTGATCATATTTTGTATTATTTTCTGCACGTGACTGTTAAACACCAATGTCAAATTTTATGCAGGATGGCGATGGCAAAAGAAAGAAAAGGAAAAATGGTCCTTTGACCGAGGAAAAAAGAGCTAAGAAAAAGGTACATGTCGAAATATCTGTAACTATAATTTTTATTTTTATAATATCCTAGCAGTTACATTGTTCAACTTCTAATGTTGGTATCATGGCCATCTGATCATGGTTCTATTACAAGGTCATTTGTTCTACAACATAGATAATATGTTCTTTCTGTATCTTCATTCAGTTGACAATTTAATGTTGCAGAGAAAGGATAGACTTAAAAGAGCTGAAAAGAACAGAAAACTTGGGGTTAAAAGATTAAAACTGCAACCTGTTAAGAAGCAAAAGACAATAACATATTGCCGCCACTTTCTACACGGGAGATGCCATGAGGTTGTATGAAATCTAGTACGATATTCATGTCAGTTTGATTTTGTTATATTTAAATCTTAGATGCTATGATATAGATTTATAATATTCTCCTTGCAATTAACGAGTCACCAAGAGAGGGCATTATTGCTTGAAACTTACTCATTAGTATTTTATTTTATTTTTTTTTGCCACAGGGGGAGAAGTGCAAGTTCTCTCATGATACAGTTCCCTTGACCAAGTCTAAGGTATGGCTTATCTCTTAAATTAAACGATACATTGTTGGAACATATATTTCTTGAAGTATCAATAATCTTTCAAATGAAACAATGAAAGAGAAGCCCTAAACCACGTTGTAGGTTTGTTTGGATTCGTCTCTATCATCCTCCCTCTCTCACATTCACACAAGCATCATGTGTTGAAATCTTTCATAGTGATTATGCAGCAGTCTATAGCCTTTAAGCTTGCTTGTTCTATTATTGTCTTGCAGCCATGTGGTCATTTTGCCCGTCACTCTTGCATGAAAGGAGACGATTGTCCATATGATCATCAACTTTCCAAGTACCCATGCAACAATTATACCACCAACGGTTTTTGCAGCAGAGGCTCCGACTGTTTATTCTCACATGAGGTATTTTTTTTTTTTCCTTTAACCCTTCTTAACCTTTCAATGCATTCTTATATTTTATCGTAATGATTAATGGCATACATACTCTACATGGCAACTTAAACGTGTTTTCCACATGTTCTTTTATTGGCAATGCTGCAGGTGCCAGCACAAACTCCCTCCAAAGCATCCGCATTGTCTTCAAAAGTCAACCACCTCGAAGTCAACTTCTTGTCCTCACCAAATAACTCAAACCCGAGCAAGCACACAGATGATAATCGCGGTAAGAGCTTAGAATTAGAACTGCCTTTTGCAAGGACCGTCCCAAAGACTACTACCACTGCTCGACAGGCTCCGAAAGGGATTAGCTTTATTTCTAACGTGAGGACTTCACTTGGTGGCACCACGAACAGGGATGTTGTTATTGCCAGTTGCTCAAACGAGCCCAATGAAAAACCTGAGAGCGTACCTCAAAAAAAACCCCGGGGAATAAACTTTCTCTCCTTTGCCCAACCTACTGCTACTACTACTTCAATTGACAATTCAAGTAGCAACAATATATTGTCTAAGTTACTTCCAAGTTGCAGTCCCGAAACAAGAAAATCCATTATGGCTGGTCTAGGCGAGAGTAAAGCCGTTTGCTCGTCACTGGACAGTGTTGGAGTTTCGAAAGTTAATAATAATGCACAAATGAACAAAAGTTTCACGAGCAGCCCGAGTGAGAAGGTCGATGGAAATTTCTCATCTTTACCGAGCAAGCTTTCCGTTGGTGGGCAGACTGCAAATACTTCAGTCTCTTTCAGGACGCCATTTTTGTCCAATACACCCAGCTCAGTGCAAAAGGCTGTCCAGTCAACATTAGCGTTTGCGGCAAACGGGATTAGAGTCGGTACGGTCCCTTCATCATCGACAACATGAAGCTGAAAGTTGTCAAGTTTTGGTGAGTGAGCTTTAACTTTTATGAAGGCACAGGTTAGGACTGAGGCCTGGAAGAATCACAGTTCATTAACCATTTGACTGAGGAAAAAAACCAATGTACAAAACTTGAACTCAATTTGTATTGTAAGTTGTAGTACCATACAAATCATAACTGTATGCCCAAAGTAAGTGGGCCTTAAATTGACTGGCCTTAAATTTGTTTATGGTAGCTATTTTGTCAATTAGAAACGAAATTATCCTAAACAAAAAAAAAAAAAAAA